ATAAACTCAAAATAAAACAAAAATAGTCAAACCAAGAGTCCAAACGTAATAACCAAAAAGCTTGTGAACCAACCACAATCAGAATCAGAGCAAGACCCACAAAACCAAAGTCACAAATAGAGTTAGAGGTCTCCAAACCACGTGAACCAAAGTCTGGAGAGGGAGAGTGAAATTGCGAAGTAGATGCCGAAGGGTCACAAAGAGAACAATGAACAAGGAGCAGTAGTCAAGGAAGATAGAATCAGCCACGAGAACCAATCAACCACAATCAACAATGAGACAAAGACAGCAGACGAGCCGTGATAACGAGTCGGCTAGTAATCGCAAAGCACTGAAACAAAGAATCCAGATGGATCGACTACCAATCGCGAGTCGACTACCAACCACGAACAGATGGGTCACGAATCAGAGAGCAATGGAGATGGTAAACCACGTGAGCCAATGAACCTAATCAAAACTTCGAACCAGACAGAACAAAAAGGATATCGCAAATCAAGAATGAGAGAACTCTATCAATTTGTGATTCGAAAACCAACTAAGGTTACGAACATAGCTCTAATACCATGTAAGATTCCTGAAAGTTTTTCTGTATATTCAATTGTGCTAATACAAAGATTACAACCAATATATATAGCAATCATAACCCTAATCTGAAATAGGAAATTCAACCAATCTAATATTCACAATCAAATCTAAAATGCATTTCCATAATTAACATAATGTTCTCACAAGATTGCCTTAAGGGTCTTAGTCACCTTAGAAGTTTTGCCTTAGCTAGTCTTACCTCAGCTAATTGTACCTCAATTGGTTTCACCTCGCCAGGCATCTTAGCGAGTTCACCTACTCATGGAGACTTGCTTATTTTTTCCATTGTTTTGGACTTCTCTTCAACAATTCTAGAGACATTTTTCTTACCTCGGCTTGTTTGCTGATGGGCTTGTGCTCCCAGTTGTGAATCACCCGTGCTAGTTCATGGACTTTCCGCTGGTTTTTGTTGACCTATTTTGTGAAGATTTTGCCAACATTTTCTTCTTTCATAAGTGTTCTTCCTACCAAGGCAAGTCCAACACCATGTAATACTAATTGCTTAGGTTTGCTTACCATAAGATAACTACATCAATATTAAATGAATAAATTCAGTTAAAAAAAAGAAAGAATGAAGTAATAATAAATCTCAAAATATGATCTTATTAACTATTTAATCCTTTATTTTTTCTTATGAACTCAAATATTCCATTAAAGTGAAAATTATACAAAATTGTAGTCACTTACTTGTTTAAGTTTAATTTTTTAGGAATAAAAGTGGATTTCTCTAAATGTAAAATTACACATTTGGACAATCCGCACTATAGAGGATTTGGATTTTCCCTCCTAGAACATATCTCACATTATGATAAAAAAATGTGATACTTCAATAATATAACACTCTAATGTAATATTCCAACGTAAACTCATTGGTGCACTTTTCCAAATGTAACAGCATAACACTTCAAAAAACTCATTAGTATATTTTTTTCTAAACGTAACATTCCAACGTAACACACACACACACACAAAAAAAAAACTACTCAGTATACTTTTTCTAAAAATAACACTCCAACCAATGTAATTCCAAAACACTCCAATGTAATACACAAAAACATTAAAAAATTCATTAATGTAATTTTTTCAAGCGTAACACTTATAATTTGAAATTATATATTTGCTCAAAACTTACTAAGAAATTTTTATACTATTTTTGAAATGGTTTGAAAAATCTCACATCTTTTTGGAATGGTTTGAAGGATTCTATATCATTTTTTTTTTTAGTGTTATGTTGGTAAAAGTACACCAATGAGGGGTTTATTTTTATTTTTATTTTTTTGTGTTATACTGGAGTATTACACTAAGAATTTTTTTAGAGTGTTATATTTAGAAAAAAAATACACTAATATTTTTTTTTTAAGTGTTACGTTTTAGTGTTATATTAGAGTGTTAAGGTTTAAAATTATACATTTGCTTAAGGTTTACTAAGAAATTTTTGTACTCTTTTTAAAATGTTTGAGAAATCTCATATTTCAAGTCATTTTTGTACTCATTTTGAAATATTTTCCAAATAAAAAAGACTCACATAAAAATTCATCTCAAATAAAATGTATACATTACCCTTTTAGCACAAAAAGAAGAAAAAGATAAAGAAACATAATAGAAATAAGAATATAACTATAAATCTAATTTTTAAATAATATATTAAATCTACTTTTTCAAAATCAATAGACTAATTAATATATAAGAAATCATTGGGACTAAATGAATTATCATTTCTCAAAATGCGATTTATAGGTAAATTTTCTTTAAAAAAAATCCCATTACATAATAATAATAATAATAATAATAATAAAAGTTGTTATTTATATGCAAATAAGGATATTTGATGGTATTCATAGTACCAATCCTATTTTAAGGAGCTAAACATAATTTTTGTGAGATCCACATACTACGAATTCGAGCCCAACCCTCTACACACAAACATAGCCTTGGCTCTTTTAATTTTATCTTGGATCTGTTAATTTTATATGATAAAAAGCACACATTTGCCAATATATATATATATATATATTACATGATGGGAGATAGAAATTTCCTATTTTTCCTTGTATAAAATTCAATTTCAAATATATTTTTAAATAATTTACATCGTGTTACGTAGAATATTATACCACATATAATATTAAATGCATACTTATACCTAAACTTTTGAATACATATCTTAATATTTAGAAATTCAGACGATTGGATATACATGTATCCAAATGTATGTCATATAGTTACAAATTAAATCATAAAAAAGTATCGGGAATTGACATAAAAGCACAATAGGGATATATTAGAGAGAAAATTGAGCGTTACAGTGATACCAAGTGAGACCATGTTATCAGTGACGCATACTATCACCCACCAATAATAAACAGAAAGAATGAACACTGTCAGTAACTATTTTGCCCGAAAAATGCCTGAGATCTCCAATTTTTTTGAAGACCCCACAATTTCCGTTGAATCTACACCATTAATGTATGTGTGAGATTCACTCATGTATGTGTAGAACTCACACTGTCAAAAGTAGAGATTCAAAAAGAATTGTGAGGGTTTCAAAAAAAAAAAAAAAAGGCTCAATCATTATTGATTTTGCCTATATACATTGAAGAGTAAATCACAAGTAATTATTAAACGGCTATATCGTACCGTTGATATCATTGTATTGATTTTTTTTTCCCTCTTACAGGTATCTTCATTTGCCAGTATCTACATTCCCGGAGCAATGGTAGAGGGCCCAAATTCTGTGGCTCAAATGTGGCTCAAATGGCCAAAACGACGTCGTTTTGAGTACAAAACAACATCAAAATGGCCAAAACGACGTCGTTTTGGCCATTTGAGCCACATTTGAGCCACAGAATTAGGGCCCCCAAACATTTTTCTTACTTTAAATGAGGATACCGCTCACCGGCAAAAAGAGATACACCATCATGCTGACTCATCTATTCTGAAAATATTTTTATATGGTTTAATTATTTATATGTAAACCAACTCAAAAACATAACAATTGCAATCCTACTACTTATAAAAAGGCAAGCCCATATTTTGAATTTGAACAAGGGTTTTTCAACAATGTTCATTTGCAATAATAAACTTATCAAAAAAAATTTATAATAATAAACTTATCAAATCTTCACTCTACAGTTTACCCTTATAAAAGGGAAGGGACACCCAAAAACAAACAACCTAAAAAAATAAAAGTCAAGAAGAAGAAAGAAAGAAAGAAACATTAAAATTTTTGTAATGCCAACAAAAAGCTTTTTCTTCACAAGAAAAGAGAGCATTTTCTTCACCAGATAAATGTATAAACATTTAGACCTTCAAAGGCATTTGATCTTGCCCTGAGATTTTCTTCTTACCCACTCTTTTGTCATCAGTTAACAACTTTCTTGACTTCTTTCCTAGTCTCAATGGATGCTTACCAATTTGTTCTCTTTCTTTCCCTTCCTCCTCTTCAATTCTCTGTAATACAATTAGTGATCAATACAAATAAAATACCAAACAAACCCAAATAACACAAGTTTTCGAATCCAAAGTTCTCTCCATCAATTCCATCTTTTTTTCTTTTTTTCTTTTTTTCATCACATCACCTCTCTACTTTTCTGTACATCTTTTCGTAAAAAAATAAAAAATACATTTTTTTAAGACACCCCAAACCAAATATTCATAACGTGATCCGTACTTATACCTAAACTTTTGAATGCATATCTTAATATTTAGAAATTCAGACGATTGGATATACATGTATCCAAATCTATGTAATATAGTTACAAATTAAATCAAAAAAAAGTATCGAGAATTGACATGTAAGCACAATAGGGATATACTAGAGAGAAAGTTGAGTGTTACAGTGATACCAAGTGAGACCATGTTATCAGTGACGCATAGTATTACCCACCAATAATAAACAGAAAGAATGAACACTGTGATCTCACAGTTTCTTTTGAATCTCCACTATTAATGTATGTGTAAGACCCACTCATGTGTATGTGTAAGACCCACTCATGTATGTGTGGAACTCACACTATCAATATAGAGATTCAAAAAAGAATTGTGAGGGTTGAGTTTCAAAAAAAAAAAAAAAAAAAAGTCTCAATCATTATTGATTTTGCCTATATACATTGAAGAGTAAATCACAAGTAATTATTAAACGGCTATATCGTACCGTTGATATCATTGTATTGATTTTTTTTCCCCTCTTACAGGTATCTTTATTTGCCAGTATCTTCACTCCCATTACTTTAAATGAGGATACCGCTCACCGGCAAAAAGAGATAAAACATCATGCTGACTCGCCTATTCTGAAAATACTTTTATATGGTTTAATTATGTAAACCAACTCAAAAACATAACAATTGCAATCCTACTACTTATAAAAAGACAAGCCCATATTTTGAATTTGAACAAGGGTTTTTCAACAATGTTCATTTGCAATAATAAACTTATCAAAAAAATTTATAATAATAAACTTATCAAATCTTCACTCTACAGTTTACCCTTATAAAAGGGAAGGGGCACCCAAAAACAAACAACCTAAAAAAATAAAAGTCAAGAAGAAGAAAGAAAGAAACATTAAAATTTTTGTAATGCCAACAAAAAGCTTTTTCTTCACAAGAAAAGAGGGCATTTTCTTCACCAGATAAATGTATAAACATTTAGACCTTCAAAGGCATTTGATCTTGCCCTGAGATTTTCTTCTTACCCACTCTTTTGTCATCAGTTAACAACTTTCTTGACTTCTTTCCTAGTCTCAATGGATGCTTACCAATTTGTTCTCTTTCTTTCCCTTCCTCCTCTTCAATTCTCTGTAATACAATTAGTGATCAATACAAATAAAATACCAAACAAACCCAAATAACACAAGTTTTCGAATCCAAAGTTCTCTCCATCAATTTGACATAATTACCGTATCTGAATTTGGAACCAAGACCGTATACGGGCTTCCCATGGCAGCTGCATTAACACTACAATCCATTTTCTTTCCAAGATTTTTACGCTTTCCAAGAATTTTTCTTGGCATATCAGAATTTTGTGGTTGGACAAGATCTTCTTTGAGTTTGAGTTTGGGAGATTGGATTTTCAATAGATATCTACGCCTTCGCCTTAAAAATCTGGAATTTATTTGCAAATAAACAATCCTCAATTATCAAAAATTCCATCAATTTGATACTTCTTATACAAATTCAATTCAAACTAAGATAACAAGTATTTATACCGGACTTCGGCCAAGAGGGTATCTCTCTTTTGCTTTGTTGTCTGCAATTTCCTCTTTTTCAAAACAAATTCCTATATTTGATTGAGATAAAACATTAATACAAAACCATGAATTAAATCAAAATCTCAGTACAATGACTAAAGCCATAAAAAAAAAAACCCTAATTTTTCCAAACAAAAATATTAGATTACATGAAATTTCACTACACATCACAAATTGGATTTCATAAGAGCTAGCACAGAATCCAATGTATAACCCAGAAAACAACATATCAAATTAACACCAGCAGACATAAAATAGACAAACCCCAGATTTACAGGAAGAAATTAATCAAAAGAAAAAGAAAAAAACTGACCTTTTGTAACTGCAAATACTCTTGCAAGAGTGTATGATGTTGGAGTTTAGCCCTAGCTTCTCCATCAACAGCATGAGATTGATGAAGATTGACAAAAGCCCTTTTCATCATCTGCTCTCAAAATCCCATACCCACCAAGAAAATTGCAGAATATTCAGAGAAAACGCAAACCCAGATCAAAAAGGGAGAGATAAAAGGTTCTGGTTCTGGTTCTGGTTTTGGTTTTGGAGAGAAAGAGATATATATAGAGAGGCAGATGAAAAGACAGAGAGCGTTCTGGGTAAACCAGTTTTCTCTCTCTCTTGAAGCTTTGAATGCTGAAACCGAAAAAAACCCACAAGGGTTAGGAGATAGAGAGAGAGAAAGAGAGGGGTATTTGTGGGACTCGCGTGATTGGAGGACATTAGAAGAACACAAACACCTTTCCTTCTATCTTTCCATCTTTCCTTTTTTGTTTTTCTCCTACACAAATTTTGGTCCAGCTGGGCCATTAGAGATAGAGATAGAGAGATGGATAGATTAGATACAGAAGAGAGAATTTTCGTGGGTTTCTGTGTTTCTTGTATGTATCTTAGAGGGTTTCGATTTGGGGGAGAGAGAGAGAGAGAGAGGTGTTTAGATGGTGCAGAAAAAGCAGGGCATAAATCGCTACTGCTTGCTTATATGGGATTGCTGTTTTAAAGATGCCTTGGAAGTTGACACGGTGGTTCTATAATAACATCAAAAATGTTTTGAATCCGTGAACTCAATAAGGTTGGGTTGGGATATTTAAAAAAAAAAATATTTTTTAATTTATTGGCTTATATGAATTGAATTTGAATTTGGTTTGATGTGATATGTTAGAAAAATGTTGTGATTTAAATAAGATGATGTGACTTAAGAGTAATGCTAGAGATCTCAAATATTCTACCAAAAGTTTTACCAAATGAGTTTTACCAAATGTCTCACATGGGTGTGAGACCCACATTGTGTGGGTCCCATGTGGGTCCCACACCCATGTGAGACATTTGGTAAAACTTTTGGTAGAATTTTTGGGGCCTCTAGCATTTTTGGTGACCTTAAATAGGATAATAATTTTTTAATTTTTTGTATTATTTAGTAGATGTCAAACTTGACCTTAATATGTATGTGGATTCATTTGATGTGATATTTTGATCTTATTTTATTTTATTTTTTTTACTATTTACTTTATTAAAGTTCAGTTAAAATTTTAATTTTAAATAAATGTATCATTATTGTAATAATATTTAGGAAAAATGTTTAAGATTCATACAATTTTCTTGATTTTTAGGGTTATTTTAAGAAGATGATTAAAAGTTACTTTTTGATTAAAAACTTATTAAAAGTTACTTTTTGTGAGAGAGGAAAGTAGATTATAATCTAGGAAGTGGATTATAACCCACATCCTAAAAGATCCCTTAGTCTTGTCATAAGATATATGTTAATTTTTTATTTGTGATATATTCAATTGTGTTAAGTCTATTTCTCTTATCACATCATTATGAGTAAATTTAGAAATTAAAATTGCAAGTCTCTAATATTATTCAATATTTAGCATAAATTATAAATACATTTTATGAGTTTTTTTTTTTTAAATACAGATTGTTTCTTATTATTTTAAAAATTGTAAATATTTATTATCAGAATTTATCATTCAATCGAGTTGATAGAAAAATTTAAATTTTTAATTGTTCTCTTATGCAAACATGAAATTGCTGTTAATTAAAATATATTATTAACATTATTAAAAATTATTCATAAATTATTGTTTATACACTTAATAGTTGATTAATGAAAGAGATTATTTCTTATACTATTATAAATTTTAAAAGATTAAATACAATTAGTATTTTAAACAAATTAAAAAAATATATGTTTGTAACTTACCCTAATTTCTATATGCTTGGAGTCCCTTGTACCATAAGCCCATCTTTTTACAACTCTCATTTTACATTTTTTTTTAATTACAATATTATTCCTATGTAAAATTACTATTATATAAATTCTAAAAAAACAAACTCTTCTTCCCACCACCACCACTAGCACACCACCATTGCCTACTCTCTTGCAACTTCTCTCATCTAATTCCCCGTGCCCCATATGTGCAAGAGCCCCATATGTGCAACGCGGTTTGTTTGGAAAGTGAGTTAATTTTTTGTTTTTTTAATTTTTCTTAACTATTTTGACATGAGACTAAAAAGTCTCGTTTATGAAGGATTTTTGACTTTTTTGTGAGAAGAATAATATAATGATTATGAGTTAAAAGTGATATTTTGTCTTATTATATTAATTGTTTTTTGTAGTTAAAATAGTCAAAAAAAACCGCAAACTTAGCTTGCCAAATGAAGCCTTAGTCCCTCTTCTCCCTTCTTGCCATACGTCCCCTAAATTATAGGCCGCCTCCTCTATATTTGCACTGTTGGGTCTGGGCTAAAGCCACTAAGGCCTGTGCCTAGTGTCACGCCCCGCCAAATCACTAAGGCATGATAACCTACAAAAGGGAAGTCTCAAGGAGGAAAGGCTAGTAAAGTGGCTTGGAAGCTCTTGGAAGACTTGAGAAGCTATGAAGATCAAAAAGGAAGCTGGAAGGTTCCAGAACTTCCTAGAGTATTGTAGAGAATAGTAGATCTTGTACATAGTTCTAGTAGCTTCTACATAAGTCTTGTATATTCTACAATAGGCTCTTTGTAAGGATGAGGGAAGGATCTAGAATCCCCTCCATCCATGTAGATCTAGAATAGTCCTAGAATACTCTAGCTGGGGGAAGTGTCTAGAACACTCTCCATTTGTACGGTTCTAGAATAATCCTTGTAAGGCTATATAAAGGGGAGGCCCTCATTTGGCCAAACCACCCAAGAATTGTAAGCTTTCTCTCAAGTGCAATACAAAGCTAGTATTCTCCAAGTGTTCTCTCTAAGTCTCTCTTGTGTGTGCATTCCCCTAGCTCCCTTCCACAAAAGGCTTACTTAGGTGCAAGCAACGCGTGCTACAAGCATCTAAGGCCGCACGGTTGGCTTGGAAAGACTGAGGGTTGGTTCAGAAATTCCAAGGCCGTGACAGTTGGTATCAGAGCCGGTTGCGAAGGCGTCGTGACTTAAGGAAGGAAGGGCACTATGTCGGGAGTAACTCACACGGAGGAGCACCGCGGAATGGAGATTGCTACTGATTTGGGCAAATGGGCAAAGTGGGCTAAGGATATGAAGCCTAGACATAACTGCTTCCTTTGCGATGAGCTACATTGGGCTAGGGATTGTCTTAAGAGGAGGAGTCTCATTGCAAAGTTGGAGGAGCAAGAAAGGGAAGAGCAGGCTTGCACGGGATCTCTGCAGTTGCTTGAAGCAAAGCCTACTGCATCAACCCAAGGGGATAAGGGTTTGATGTATGTAGAGGGCAAGGTCGAAGGGGAGGTGACCCAAGTCGTGGTAGACACAGGGGCTTCCCACAACTTCATCAACACGGAAGAGGCCAAGAGGGTTCGTCTGAACCTTGACGGGGGTCAAGGGTTGATGAAGGTGGAAGACACCAAGGTAAAGCCTGAGGATGGCATGGCTCATGGGGTTGAGCTACACCTTGGTGAGTGGTGCGAAAAAGTCAAAGACTGTGGCATGGTGCTAGGACGGTATGTGGGACTTACGCCAAGCACCTTCATTGTGGAGTCCGCACCAAGGGTGGTGTCCGCGCGGGGCGGGTTTCCCGTGGGTAGGGGAACGGACAAGCATGGCGGTAGGCAGGGTAATGTCCCCCTGACAAGGGCATCAGGGACTAGCGGTGGTAGCATGTCATGTACCAAGTACAACGTGGCACAGTCAAAACCAAGAAGGAGTAAGTCAAGGAGAAAGACTACGACTTCGAGGATGGAGACGCGACGAGGGCGTCGCAAGCATAGGTGGGGGAGAATGTCACACCCAGCTCTTGGAAGACTTGAGAAGCTATGAAGATCATATAGGAAGCTGGAAGGTTCCAGAACTTCCTAGAGTATTGTAGAGAATAGTAGATCTTGTACATAGTTCTAGTAGCTTCTACATAAGTCTTGTATATTCTACAATAGGCTCTTTGTAAGGATGAGGGAAGGATCTAGAATCCCCTCCATCCATGTAGATCTAGAATAGTCCTAGAATACTCTAGCTGGGGGAAGTGTCTAGAACACTCTCCATTTGTACGGTTCTAGAATAATCCTTGTAAGGCTATATAAAGGGGAGGCCCTCATTTGGCCAAACCACCCAAGAATTGTAAGCTTTCTCTCAAGTGCAATACAAAGCTAGTATTCTCCAAGTGTTCTCTCTAAGTCTCTCTTGTGTGTGCATTCCCCTAGCTCCCTTCCACAAAAGGCTTACTTAGGTGCAAGCAAGGCATGCTACAAGCATCTAAGGCCGCACGGTTGGCTTGGAAAGACTGAGGGTTGGTTCAGAAATTCCAAGGCCGTGACACTAGGGCCCTCAAATTTTGGCCTAAAATAAGGTCCCAAATTTAATTAATGGGGAAATTACCCATAGGTCCCATGTGGAACATGTGGACACCATTTAATCCCATAACTTTTTGAGTACACCCAAAAGTCATTTCCCCTCTCTCTCTCTGCTTTTTGCTTCCCTCTTTACGCCTCCTCCTCTAACCCTAATCTCAGTCCTAAAGTCAAACAAGAAGGCGATGAAGAACAAGAACAAGAAGACGATGAAGAACAAGAACAAGAAGACGCTCATCCTCAGACCTGTGCTTAGATTGAACAGATGTAATTAATCCAAACAAATGTATTTGGTATAATGAGTCCAAATACAGTTTAATGTCAAGATTTTAATAGAATAAACAACTTTATTTTAATTTTTTTGCTATCACTTTATCATATTTTAATTGAATAATTTTTCCTTGATTTTGTTTGCCCTAATTTTTTTGTCTTCTCTCTTTATCATAATTTAATTGAATAATTTTGCCTTAGTTTTTTCTCCCAATTTTTTCCCAATAATTTGTGTTTTGTTATCAAATAAATGTGAATTGTGATTTGTGTGGATTATGATTGTGTTATCAGATATCATATTATAATAATACAATTATTTCGCTATCAAATATCAACGAATTATGTTGTTTGTATTAATTATTGCTAAATTATAAAATAACACGACCTTATTTTATCTTTTTTCAGTCTTTGTAATGATTTTTTCGTATTTTAATGTATGAAAATAAATTTTAATGATTATGTGTAAGGAAATTTTTTGTTACTACTAAATAATTAAAAAAAATTATTGATAACTTATTATTTTATTTGTAATTTTTTTTATAAAAAATACCCACTTTCAAAGTCCTGCCTAAAACCCTATAAATCTCAAGGCCAGCCCTATATATTTGCAATTCCTTGCCACCAAACTTCTATTTATACAACAATTTAGTCTCATTACACTACTTTACCCAAAAAAAAAAGTTAAATGTAATTTTATCTTTATATACCCATCAATATCCCAACTTTGTCGTCAACCTTAACGTCACATTTTCTCTTTACAATCATCGTCTTATCTCTCTTTTTTATTTTCCTAAAGAAAAATGATCCGTTGTTTGAAAACGGTAGCTCAAAATTGGCTCAAATATACAAAACGACGTCGTTTTGTTTTGTTTTGTTTTTTTCTTTTTCTTGTTTTCAAATGAATACAGATAGACAGAGAGAAGAGAAGAGAAGAGAAGAGACG